CCCAAGCGCAACTGCTGCTGGAACAGCTAGCGATTCGCCAAGACCCAAAAGGACGATTCACCCTCACTCAAGGGCTGCTTAGGTTCAGAGGACGGATTTGGCTGGGTGGTACCACAAGTCTCCAACAGAAGATCATTGCAGCATTTCACGACAACCCTATGGGGGGGCACTCAGGCATCCCAGCTACATATCGTCGCATACAGCGACTCTTTGCCTGGCCCAAAATGAAGACTCATGTGCACAACTACATACGTTGTTGCTCCATATGTCAGCAGGCCAAACCGGATCGAGCTGCCAGTCCAGGGCTTCTAAAACCCACTACCAATACCAACTGCACCATGGGATATGATCACTATGGATTTCGTCGATGGCCTACCGCAATCCGGAAAATTCAACTGCTTGCTGGTTATTGTGGACAAGAGGACAAAGTTTGCCCATTTTCTACCCCTAGCACATCCCTATACTGCATCTAAGGTGGCTCTCCTTTACATGAATCAAATATACAAGCTGCATGGTTTGCCCGGAGCCATTGTCTCTGATCGCGACCCGGTCTTCACCACCCACTTCTGGCAGGAGCTGTTCAAATACGCTGGAACAGAGCTGCGGATGAGCACGGCCAACCACCCACAAACAGACGATCAAACGGAGTGAGTCAACCAGTGCTTGGAAACCTATCTGCGTTGCTTCACGCACACGTATCCGCGACGCTGGAGCTTCTGGATCCCACTTGCACAGTTTTGGTACAATTCCACCCATCATTCAGCGATCGGGATGACTCCTTTCAAGGCCCTGTTCGGGTACGAACCAAGACACTGGGGCATCTCAGCAGCGTCATCGTGCTCGGTTCTGGCTCTGCAATCATGGCTGGAGGAGCGTCAGGTAGTGCAGCAACTCCTCCAACAACATCTCAATCGCGCACGCCAATGCATGAAAACTCAGGCAGACAAGAAGCGTTCATGGCGCCAGTTTGAAGTGGGTGACAAGGTATTTCTCAAACTTCAGCCATACATTCAAACATCAGTTGCTCCGCGCGCCAACCACAAGCTCTCGTTCAAGTTCTTCGGACCCTTTCCGATCATCGCCAAGATCAACGAGGTCGTGTACAAACTTCAGCTACCTCCAGATGCCACTGTGCATCCGGTGTTCCATGTCTCGATGCTCCGGCGTGCATTGCTCCCAGGTGCGGCGGCTAGCCTAGAACTACCTATTGACCAAGACATGCTAGCGATACCAGTGCAGATCCTACAATCGCGATGGCGCAAGGGAACGAGCGGCATGGTCGAACAAGTCAAGGTTTGATAGTCTCCACGCGACCAGGTGGACTCCACTTGGGAAGACAAAGCTGCTCTTCAAGCACGCTTCCCACACGCGGAGGCTTGGGGGCAAGCCTCGACACAAGGAGGGGGGATGTCAGCACCACTGACATGCCGGGCCCGCAGATCACCCACGCTGGGCCGGAAGGAGGCCGGCCCCAGCGCGTGCCCAAGGCCAACCCACACGCCTACGGGCCAGACTGGGCCAGGTGAAGCCCGACGCGTCCACTACTTAACCAAGGCAACCAAGGGATCAAGGCATCCGGTGGATCACGGCTCGGCGGCGACGGCTAGAACCCTAGTTCCCCATTTTTTCCTCTCCATTCGTGTAATCCAATTGTATTTGAGATTTCGACAACCGCGTGAGACAATAGATCGACCCTTGCCACTCTCATCCTAACATGGAGACTATCAGGACAGATTTCAAGTCTCGCTTGGAAGCTCTGTTGAAACAAAAACCTGGAAAAGCAATTTTACCTGGCACTAGAAAAGGCAATCCAAATGCGGTACATTTCTTTTTAGGGATCTAATATGATTGTGGACTATTCAGTACCCATGCATATCTTCATACTCCTAGTTCAGCTGGCTAGCCTCTTTTCGAGGGTGAATCCTATATCCTGGATTTGGTCCTGCAGGTACTTCCAATTCTGAAGAGCATACTATTCTCTGACATGGATGTTTGGTTTTTCCTCTTAACCTGCAAGGTTAAATAGTGCAGCCTTTATGATCAAGGATTCAAGGGTATGTTCTTCTGGACTGAGATCCAGTGCCCGCCTCTGTCAAGGCACGACGCGCCTTGAGGCCTGGAATCCAACGTTCAATGTGCATCCAACGGCTATCCAGAATCAACGCGAAAACTACCAGGCCTCCACTCGTGCCCGTCCTCGAGTCCTCACGCGCGAGGCAACACGGGAAAGAAAAACCGCCACTGGCTCGCGGGCGGGAACTCCTCTGCCGCCGTCGCCGCCGTGGGGAAGGGAGCTCCGGCGGCGGCCGCCGTGGGGAATGGAGCTCTAACAACGGTGGCATGCTGCTCTACCCCCACTCCTCCCCGCCCCGCTCCGGCAAACAGACCATGAACGCGGCCGCTGAAGGTCTCCAATCGGGCGGCTGCCTCCACCCGTTCCAGCGGCTGTCGACGACGGACCCCCTCCAATGGACGTCCCCCTTCGATGGTCCGCCCTGACCATGAGACAGACGCAAGGCAGGAGCAGCATACATCTGCACACAAACAAAAAATTCAGTTAACCATACACAGATACGAAATTCAGTTAACTGAAGACTAAAGCAAATGTACTTAACCATACAGCAAACCAACATCAGAAAAGTATTCAATACAAAGACTTCAGTACATAATTCTTCATGACTGCAGCATTTAACACTTGAATTTGGCATCAATAATCTGTTCTTACATAATTCTTCAAGTACATAAATTAGGCCAATCTACTTGTACACTTAGGCCACGACAGACTATAGTCAGCCCCAAAATCCAAAATACTATAGTCATCTTTGTCCAAAATACTAGTCAAAATGTCCAAAATACTAGTCAAAATGTCCAAAATACTAGTCAAAATGTCCAAAATACTATCTAACAAGCTTGTACATGTTAGATCAGATCTTCATCATAAAAACCACCAGGGGGAGCCATTAAGAGCTGTGTGTAACTGATGGCCGTGTTGCCCTCTTGAAGCTCCACATTTGCTCTTTCAGCGTCATCGTCTCAATCAGCACAATAATCAAATTGCGTAACACATCATCTCAATCAGCACAAGAATTCTGTCAAATACGACAGGAAACACATCGATCAATTCACATATGAATTCATGACAATCGAGACAATATTGATCCAGCACAATTTTTCAGTATTAACAAGCTGCCATCAGACTGGAAATTCGTGTTCAGAGTATTAACAAGCTGCCATCTAGCACAATTTTCATATACAGTATACAGATTAACAGAGACAGTACTGAACAGAGAACTACCTGTTGCCTGTTGGAGTCTGAACTGAAGTTGGCGTTCAGTTTTCTGCTGCACGCGGAGGGGCCGTGGCCGACGAGCGTTGGAGGGGGCGGAGCGAGCCGCTGGATGCGGGCGGAGGGAGCAGCCAGAGGTGGGTGAAGCGAGCCGCCGGATGAGGGCGGAGGGAGCAGACAGAGGGGGGTGCGAGCCGCCGGATGAGGGCGGAGGGAGCAGACAGAGGTGGCCGGTCGTGATGGACAACTGCCGGCACAGCGGGACGAGGAAGAGTCGCAGGGGAGCGAGGGCGCCGTCAGAGACGAGCGGAGGCCGTTTATCCGATGGCCGCCGCGGGAGCTCCCATGCCTCCCTCCCCACGGCGGCGATGGCGGCAGAGCGAGTTCCCGCCCGCGGAGCTTTCTTCCCGCGGTTTATTTTGCCTCGCGCGTGAGGACTCGAGGACGGGGACAAGTGGAGGCCTGGTAGTTTTCACATTGACTCTGGATAGCCGTTGGATGCACATTGGACGTTGGATTCCAGGCCTCAAGGCGCGTCGTGCCTTGACAGAGGCGAGGCACTGGATCTCAGTCCTGTTCTTCTCGGTGTTCAGACCTTTACGGGTAGATGTTAGGTGACCCTATGGATCAGGGTACGATTTATTACATCATCCTCTGAGAAAGTTAACTACTAATAAGCCTCTAAATTCCCTTTGCTTGTATGTCATTACCATGGTATTCTGAACTTTCACCTCATTCTGTAAAACCAACTTGGCACCTTCGCAGTTTGAAGTCATCTACCCTTTCATGTATAAAGTTTCCAATCTCATGCATTTCTCTGTACTTGCTCTGATTTCAGGTACACTTGTATTGGGAGCATACATGACACTGTCCTGAATGCACTCTTGAGTCGTCTGTAGTAAACGCAATTAAACAGGCATACATGCTGTCAGATGGAACACTTGAAAGGGCTGGTAGATCAATCACAAAAAAGAAAATAATTAGGTTGCAAGAAAAGGCATGGACAAAACTGATCCTCGACAAATGAGTCGTCTGTAGTAAACGCAATTTCGAATACCCACTGAAATTCATGTGTTCCAGACAGAACATAAGCCTTGCGTGCTTGCCTTGTAGTATCATCTTCTGGATGTATCCTTTTTGTGTGAAATATATGCATCTATATGCCCAGTTTGTACCCCTCTAATCTGACAGAAGTTACACACATGTGAATTGGTAAGACTTATATAGCTTGAATATTTGAATGTAGCACTGCTTGAATATTGGTCAGTTGGTGGATTAGAGACGAAGATCAAAAACATATTTCCTGTCAGCACTCAGGCTTATGTTTACCTACACAATCAGATTGGTAAATTTTCGCAAGAAACTGACTGAATGTGTATAACATAAATCAGACATGAGAGAACCAGTTTAATCTGACACAGGTTTCTCAATGGTCGTAACATTTTTTGCCTACACAATCTGCATTTCAAGAACTTCCAATTTCACATTCAGCAGGTTGTCACCAATTTCATTCAACACATTGCATTGAACACTACATATTACAGGATAAAACAAACACTGCAACGCAGCAAGCCTGCAAGTGTACAGATGCTTCGAGCTTGAGCAGAGACAATTTACTCCGCTCTGGGTGCACTAAATTGTCATCCAAGCATCTACATATTTTGCATCCGAAAAGTCCCAAGCATCGAGGCAGAAGAAGAAGATCTCTGCGCCTTCATGTGGCCGGTGGAACGATCAGCGGCGCCTTCTTCCTGATCAACGTCTTCTTGGCCGTGACTCTCTTTCTAGGAGGCATCAACGGAGCGAACTCCACCACCTCCTCCTTTATGGACAGCGCCATCGTGTCGATCTTGGCAGCAGCAGCAGCAGCAGTCGGAGCAGAAGGGCGGGCGTTTGCAGCAGCGGTGGCGAACCACGGGAGCTTCAGCGCGGCGGTCGCCGTCAGCCGTTTGTCGGGGTTGCATGTAAGAAGGCCGTTGAGGACCTGGAATCCCTCCGCGGACAGCACCTCCTCCGGGAACAGATCTCGCAGCGTGCTCTGCTGCCCCGGCACCAGCGGCGGCGGGGCGGCGTGCGGCAGCGACGTGAACCCCGGCCACGTCGTGTCGTCTGGCACGCCCACCACTTCGAAGATCCTTTGGAAGAGAGAGATGAATTCGGCGGCTCGGAAAATCCTCTCGCCAGTGAGCATCTCTGCCATGACGCACCCGAGAGACCACGTGTCGACGAGCGCGTCGTAGTCCTCTTTTCCCAGCAGCATCTCGGGCGCCCGGTACTCCCCCATGCCAGCCTCCTCCTCGTACGGCGGCGCCTCCGACATGGACATGGCGACGCCGAGGTCGCAGATCTTGACGAACCCTCTTCCGGCTTCTTCCCCTCCGACGAGGATGTTAGCAGGATTGATGTCGCGGTGGACGACGTGGCACCGGTGCATCTTCTTGGCGGCCGTGAGGAGTTGCCACATGAAGGTGCACACCGTGGCCTCCGGGAGCCCGCCGCTCCTCTCGCTCAGGAGAAGTTTGAGGCTCTTGCCCTCGACGTAGTCCATGACGAGGCAGAGCTCGTCGGTTACGTAGTCGAGCGTGACGCCGCGGAAGCCGACGATGTGCGGGTGGCCGCCGCACGCCTCGAGGAAGCGGGCCTCCCGCAGCACCTCGCGGGGGTCGGCGGGGTCGTGGAGGGACTTGATGGCGACGACTTGGCCGGTCGCGCGGCACCGCGCCTTGACGACGGCGCCGAACTTGCCTCTGCCGAGGCACGACTCCTGGTCGTAGTCATAGGTGGTCCCGATGACGCGCCTCCTCTTCCGGCACATCGCGCCCGGCTGGCTGGCGTGGCCGTCGAGGGACGCGGCGGGTCGCTTGCAGGTGAACGCCATCGGATGGATCGATCGGCGCGCTGAACAGAGATGACGGAGACAGGGGAGAGCGCGTCTGATCTAGGAGGAGTGGGGGTGGCGGCGACGAGATGGACGAGCGGCAAATACATCGTACATATATATACACCGAGACGGCTTGGATCGACGGCGGCTCGGTTCCCGTCTTCCAAACGGATTCCGGGAGGAGTTACGGTGGCTGTGCCAACGCGTTTTGTTTCGTTTGCTTGACGCTTGCGTTCACAAGTCAAACTACTCTGTTCCAATCCGATTCCGACCAGCACTGCTTGCAGGCGGTGCAATTATCGCACATACTAAGAGCAACTCTAGCCGACCCGCATCCGGCGCAAACCCGCATAATTCCGGTGATTATACAGTCTCGGTTCATTTTTCTGATCAGACCAGAGCCCGTATCGGTGTCTGGCTCATTCGGGGATAAGGCGGAGCGCCGCCGCCCCGCCAGATCTGACGCCGCGCGCAAGCGGGGGGCGCGTCGGTGGCTCAACCACGATGCTCGTCGCCGTCGGCATTCAACCAGCGCGAGCTCGACGAGTTCGAACTCGAGCGTGCCCGTCGCCGCCGCGCCTCCTCCGGCAACTGGTCCGCGAGGAGCTCTTCCGGCTACGGGTCCGCGGGGTGCTCATCCACGGGCGCATCGAGCTCGCGGCTCGTTCCAGTGAAGAGGGAGCTGGAGGAGTCCGTGCCCGATGCGCCGCCGCGCCGAGGCGTCATCGGACCCGAGGACTACCTCCCACCGGGGCAGGAGGAGCTCCTCGAGCGGTCGGCGAGGGATCAGGAGGAGATGGAAGAGTGCATCCGGCGCGAACTCGACTACGAGCGGTTCTTCCTCGAGACGGGCCTCACGGCATCGCAGGCGCACGCATCGAAGGAGGCCGACCTGCGCGTGATGAAGGCGGAGCAGGCGAAGCTCTACATCGACCTCGACTCCGACTCCTACTCCGACTCCTCTGACTCTGACTGATCGGCGCCGGTGGGCAGCTACCGCAGGAGCTCCGGTGAGCTCAGTTTTGTTGTAGTGGTGCGGTAGCGTAGGCTCTGTCTAGCATATCTAACCTGTATGTATGTATGTGACGTGCATGAACTTATTATGCGAAGAAGAACCATCTATGCGAGCGAGCTCCGGCGAGCTGCTGCTTAAATTTCTCACGCGAAACAACTTTTTTAAAAATTTAAGAGTTTGTTTGCGGTTTCTAGTCTGCCGCCGCAAAATTCGGCCTGCATAACCGTTTCCGTGCGACCTGCAAACACATTTTACAGGTCGACAAAATGCAGGGTCTGCTAGAATTGCTCTAAGTACTTCCTCTATAAACTAGACGTAATATCATCAAGAGTTATACAACTTGCGTCATATGTTCAGTTTTTGATGCTAAAACTTTTAAAATACGATTTTGTGGTCATCTAACTACACATAAGGATGCAAATGCGGTCAGTACGCGTATACGAGTGTATCCACAGTATGGACCGACCTGTCATGAGTGGTAGAGCTGGGCATGACGCACTCCTCATACTTTTTTATTTACAGAAATATTCGACCACAACATTCTGTTATATGCGAAAATTGACAAAAAAACAATAGATGTGGCGGGAATCGAAACCGCTGCAAATAGTACTAACCTGGGACGGTGTAGCTAAAAACCAAATAAGCTGCGTGTCTCTAATATCGATAATACAAATATACGTACTCATCTCGAGATTAAATGGGCTGCGTATACTGCGGCCAATTTTGTACGCGCTATCCTTTTAAAGATATATTTGCTTTTTTGTGATGGTTAAATATATTATATTCAATTTTTTGTGTGTTAAATATATTATATATACGGATGATGATTAGTAAATAAAAATAATTAAATATAAACTTGTGTATTATATATGAAATATTAAGTAAAATGTGAGTGACAAATACATTTACAATATTTGTAAAGCATAATAAGTAATAAAATTATGTTCAAAAAAATTGTGTGTTAAAAATGCTATACATACAAACGCTGATTAGTAAATAAAAATGTTCAAATAGAGACTTGTGTATTATATAAAATATATTTAGGTAATATAGACATTGAAAATGTTTACTAAATAAATATGTTTGATGAACCGAAAAATATACACTTTCAGGTTATATTAAAATTATAAAAAATGATGAATACAAAAAATCAGTAAATATTTATGAATACTCATTTATGTATAATTTTTACACATGACTTATATTCAAAAAATATATAGAAATTAAATAGTAGGTACTATTGAATTTCCATTTTAAAATTAAAAAATATGAATAGTATTGATTAGACAAACATTGTATTAATATTTGAATTATAATTTTGAAAACCAAATAGATAATACACACTTTATATAGCACACTGGTTTATATTTATTTTTTATGTTTTTATCTTAAAACAATGTGAAAAAAATATGTAATAAACACATTTATATAACACACTGGTTTTACCAATATCTTAAGAAAAATAGTACGTGCAAAACAAACCGAAATATACGCAGCCCATTTAAACTCCACATTCGCCACCTTTAAGTACATATTAGTTTTACCGGTTCTGGACCTACTCACCTAGAGAGTCTAGCGGCTAGAGTGTTCTGTTTTAAAACAGTCAGTTTTTCTTTAATACAGTACAAAGGCAAGTGTTCATATACACGCGCATACATTGATTTCTATGAATGCGCACACACACAGTCATCGTAAGCACCTCGTCGTGGATGAAAACGTCTCCTTCCATTGAATGCGCATTGTCAGAAATTCTGAAATAAATCTAGGAATAAATGCGAGCACCAAGATTTAAACCCTGGTGGGCTGGGAATACCACAGTCCCTCTAACTATCAACCACAAGTTAGTTTGCAAAACAGTCGATTAGTGTGTGTATAATTATCTAGTTAATAAAGCTGACCCTATTTTGTTGGGAGTACTGTCGTTTGATTTTCTGTATATCAAAAAATGTGAACGTCTTTTTATGCAAATATTGTTGTGGTGGTTGACTATTTTCGCAACTAAAAAATTATAAGGGTTTTGTTGTAAAATTATGTCACGCCTAGTGTCATCATTTTACTGACACGTGGGGCCATACATATGAATATGCTTGCATATGTGTACTGTAACTGTATTTGAACGCTTGAGTCAAGTTAGGTGACTAGAAAACCGTATTTTAAAGTTCTAGCATCAAACTGAACATGTGACGTAAGTTCTATAACCCCGTGTGATATTACCTCTATAAACTAATATAAGATCGTTTAGATCATTACTTTAATAATCTAAACGGTTTTATATTAGTTTACAGAGGGTATCAGTTTAGCTAGAAATGATCCTAAAAAAAGTTTAGCTAGAAGTAATTGACTGGTTTTAAAATTTGGGCTGATTCGGGGGAGAAGGGAACATGCCTTTTCTTTCAGAGAAAACAAAAGGCTGGGAACGAGCCTGAGTAAGGCTCGATGGACGACGCAGAGTTTCTCCATGAGCTCGGGTGGACAGTTAAAAAGAAAATTAAAAAATGATTTTTTTTATAACAAAAATTAACAAATGTCGTAAGCGATTTTCTTTCTTAAGAGGCATGACCGTGTCTCTCAGGAAAGTAAATATGCGCCTCTAGTGGAAGAAAGAAAAAAAGAAAACGGATTTTCTCTATGAGAGAGGCACAACCGTGTCTTTCACGGGAGCAAATCCATAACTCCACAAGAAGTAAATCCACACCTCCCGTGGAAGGAAATAGAACACCTTTTTGCCTTTTCTCGAAGGCACGACCGCGCCTCTCGCATAAGTAAATCCGTGCCTTCATGAGAATTAAATTTATTTCCCCCATGAAAAAAAATACAAAAATACATTTTTTTTTCTTTCCCGAGAGGCACGATAGTCTCTCTCGCGGAAGCAAATTCGTGCCTCTGCGAGAAATAAATATGTGCCTCTCCTAGAAGAAAAAACATATTTTCACATAAAAATATTAATTTTTTGTCCAAAACCTAAGAAAAACCGGAAGATACCTGAAAGTAAAAAAAAATCATCTAAAAGCCAAAAACGCGTAGAGAAAAAAATTCAGGAGGGAGCGTTCAGACACGACACGTGCCTGCAGCTGAGAGCATGCCAAGTGGCCCCTTGCGTGTGCTTCCGAAGAAGTACTCGCTGATTAGTTCCTCTCGACTGATAGAAATATGCTATTTGGTGCTTACGCATCACACACGTTCCTTTTCGCTATGTCCTAAGTGGGCAGGAGCATGTTAACCGTACTCTTTCTACTTGAAGGTTCCCTCTAGTTTCAAAAGGTTCCCTCTAGTTCTTGGGCTGGTTTCCTTGGTTTTGGTTCGCTTTTTAGAAACAATTATTTTTGCTCTTTCTTTTTGGTTTTCATGAACAATTTCCAAAATCATGAACCTTTCCCAAATACATGAAAAAAAATTAAAAACAGTGAAGATTTTTGGATTTCACCATTTTTTCAAAGCTAAAAAATGGCTAGTTTTTCTCCTGATACAGTGGACCAGTAGCTTCAGGCATACGTAGGAGCGAAGCAAACATCGAGCGGGCGGTTCAAGTCATGCCACGTCATTCTTTTTTTTTCATATATTAAAACATAAATACACATAATAAATTTAAAACCACGAATTTTGTAAAATATTGACATAGCATAAAAAGTTAGTTAGCGCAGTTTTCAAAAATATTGATAGCTTGAAGAAAAAGTTTCTGAGAATAAAAAATGTTTCAGTGTTTGAAAAATGTACTTGTGATTTTTTTTCTCAATGTGTATGCAATGTAAAAAATGTGTAATGCAAAAACTATTTCGTATCAACAAAAAATGTACTATGTGACATTTTTGGAAATATTCTGGGATTTTACAAAATGTGTGTGACATTAAAAAATATATATACGATGTAGAATAATTTTTGTGTTGATTAAAAAACTTTATTTCCTAAACAAATGTGTGTGTGTCATTTTAATTAAATATTTAGGTGTCTCAAATAATGACTATGGAAGTTTACAAAATGTTTA